ACTAGTAAAGGAACAAGAACTGAATTTAACAAAAACCAAACTGCTGCTAAAGCAAATAATAGTTTACAAGTAGAAAACTGTAATTCGAAACACAGAATAATATAAGAATCGGGTTTAAAAACAGATACACAATACATGATGAAGTAGTTCCAGAATATTAGATTTTGAATTATGCAATAGATATAGTAAGTTTTTACCCATTTTTTACGTGGGTTATGTCTGTTATAAGGCAGAGGAAATGCATAAATTTGTAATAAATTTACAACTGGATCTAGCGCACAGTGTATACAATGACATTTCATGTGAATAGATTTCATTCTGTATAGTGCACTTTCCTTAAAGCGACTTGCATACTACTGAAAAGAAAAATCGAAATTACTTTGCTAAGTGATGACTAGCAATTTATTGAATATTCATAAAATTATAAAAGCAAATGGATTCTCAGATATGATGCCATTATGCCACCAAAATACTGCATTCGATCCTGCGGACGCATTTTAATTAGACATTATAAATTTTTAATGGAATCGATTTTACTATGCAAGGAACTTAATGTGCTTACATTAATTCAAAAACTATAATTGACAAACAAGCTATATTAATTGCCCTTTATTAAAAGGCATTGTGCATTCTCTGTAGAAACTCAATTAGAATTCCATGTAGATTTCATAAATTTAGCGAATGTAATGAAATTCTTTCTAAATTAGTTCTATTATAAATCAGAAACCTTTCAGGTTAATAAAACAAATGCTCCTGATAAATTCCTGGTATTCGTTTTTGTCTGATTTATTTTTCAAATTTTAATTTCTATTGGATTTTAGAAAAGTTTGTGCCTTTTACATTTTGAACAGTTGTACTGTATTTGTGAAATTTTGACATTTCGATATACAGTATATATATATGTGTATATATAAATGAAGATGTTTGTTTGTTCGCTATGTACTCCATTTCCATTGTATCAATTTTATCAATTTCTATGAAACTCGACAGCTACGTTAACATACTTTTAACGTAAATAATGCCGTAATACCATCCTAAAATATCGATTGGATTGCTATAAAACAATAAATTTCTGTCTACTTTCGATTTGTTGAAGAAGGTTACGACGTGAAATAACAAAAAAACTACGTGCATAGAAAGTTTAGAAGGGCATACACAATATATAAAAATGAAGCACACTTCATTTGCATTTTTAACATATAAAAAATTTAAAATTAAAATAACACTATGAAATCCTTTGGAAAGATGTCGTGGCTATAATTTGGCTATGGAAGGGCGGCAAATACATCTCAAGTGAGATGGCGCTATTAGCATTTGCCACGAAGTGTATTAGTTGTCCATATAAGTTCATGTAAAGCTCGTGAGCTCTTTTGGCCCAATTAACGCTAGACTCTCCATATAAACATAGAAGAAGAAGAAGAAGTGAGCTCTTTTGTAATCTACAATAAAGTTGTTACACTGTTAAGGGCTTGGATTGATTATGTATATATAAATTATACTGCACTAATACCGGAACAAAGGAATTTTAATTTATCTTAAAAATTGAAGCATTCTCTTTTTATAAATTGATCACGATTAATACGAGCAATCATTTTATTGTGATATGGTCACACAATACCGGGCTGCAATTTTTAATCATATTTTTTAATGTATTTAATTTAAAATATACGCTCTTCATCTTCAAATTAGTAGTGTCTTGCCCCTGTACATCATGCCGTTTGTGTTGCAATAGTCATGCCGGTCATCTATCGAAATTCTTTCAGAGAAAATTTTTGAATTGAAATAACGTGAATTTCGGTTTTTATTGAAAGTTTGCGTACAATTAGCACTCCATTCATGAATGTTAATGGAGAATGGTCAATTAGACAAGTTAAAAGTCTTTTTCTTCTGTAGAATTAAATTTATTCTCATTAATCTGATTGTTCGATAGTCCGTTATATTGAGTAATCCAGCCTGAATTCCTGTAGCCTCGCAATCTGCAAGTATAGATTTACCAAACGCTACCAATTGCTTAAGAACTGCTATGAATTTATAAAAGAGTGTCGGCGTTATTCGTCTGCTGTAATAACATCTAGGGAAATTGCTTTTCAGGCCGGGATAGATCTTATTTTTAAGTCAGTCCGATCCCGAAGAAAGAAGAGATTATTTAAATACGAGGCCGTCGATGAGACACCAACAGATCCGGAAGAATTGTCTAAAATAAACGTTTTTTTACGCTATAATCGATACAATTGAGAATGCGTCGTTCACTCGATTTACACAACTATCCAAATTTAATGATACACGGTCCTTTTTATACAACATCAAAACAATTCATGAAAAGTCAAAATTGGAAAAAGCCTGTGCAAATTTAGAAATAAGTTTAACCGATGAAGAAAAATGTGACATATCTGGTTGTGAATTGGTTGAGGAACTTTTACACCTGAATCCATTGTTGAAAGAGCTTGAATCATCAGAAACAATAAAAGTTCTTCAACTTATTAAACAAAATGATTGGCAGGATATATTCCCGAATGTGTGGACAGCACTTCGAATCTTACTGACCATACCTGTAACTGTCGCTAAAGGAAAACGAAGTTTCAGTAAATTAAAACTTATTAAATTTTATTTACGTTCAACCATGTGTCAAGATAGACTGTCAGATCTAGCAATTTTATCTATCGAAAATAATATTGCCCAGAAATTAAGTTATTCTGAATTAATAACAACACTTGCAAGCGCAAAAGCGAGGAAGGTGACAATGTAGGCTTTTTTAAATTTTATTTCTTAATTTGTTTCAATTTCAAATTAATTTACGATGTAAATTTGTCTTTTGCGTGATGTGAGCGTTGTCTGTGCCATAGCAGTTTAAATAAATATTGTTATGAATATTGCCTTGTGAAAGAAATATTGTTTTTTTTTCGCTGTTATTGTTCCTCATCCATTCTAGTGCTATGCTATAGATTTTACACAAGAGTGAGATGGGTTGTGAGAATATAAAACATGATCCTGAAATGTGTGCTATATCTCCATAACCTAAAATTAAGAGGAGAGGGGAGAGGAAAAAACGTCAACAGCTTGCGATATGTCTGAATTAACAAGGGTCAAGTTAACTCTCCATTTACCGTCGTTATCGTTTCTCATCATAGTATTACTAATAGTATTACTATACTAATCTTTCGGAGGTCTGCGTTATTAATAATGTGGAAAATGTACTGTACGTTATCAGTTTAGTCTCTACAGGGGGGCGCCACAATGAGATCTCGCACCACCTGAAAACCTGGGTAGGGCTGCCACTGATTTTATCACAGTAACTTTAGCAAATGCAGAGTCGACTTATATACATACATATTAGGGTGATCCTCATTCTTAACTTTTGGAAAGTTGGACAGGAGACATTTTCAATCTGTTCCGTTCAGAAAGAATAATTTTGGTAAAATTTAGTTAGTCTTTAATAATATTTAGGGGTCGTTACCATGGTCTGAAAAATCGCAATATATCACAATTTTAAACATAAGACAATTCGCTGTTAAAATTAAAATCTACGTAAATACAGTAGTAGCAGTACAATGTTGTTACTTCATGTACTATAGTAGTCAATATATGGTCCTCTGGAACAATCTAGAGCTTTTCAGAACGTTATACAACCTTCCATAACATTTTAGACGCCGCCAGAATATTTTTAAACTTCTGAGATATTCTACAACCTTCATGAACAATTTGGGGCTTAGGCTATAAATTCAGGCTACCTGACCAATGCTTCTGTAAAGCTTTCTGTCATTTGTGTTATAACACTTGAATAAGTTTGGCTTCGTTGATAAAACAACCCAAAGGCAATCACATTATCACAGATAAGTGCATCAGAGCCACCAAATGCATTAACGATACGAAGTTGCCCTGATCGAGAAATACAATCGATTGCACATCACGATGAACAACAAAGCCAATTTCTTTTGCAGTCTTTGTGAACCAGAGTAGAAACAGAACGTTTGCCAATAATAATTAATATTTCACTGCATGAGTATTGTTATGTACTGTTATGTTCATTTTTACTTTTCCGTCTCTGTTATAAATGATGATCGATCAAAATGTACTCCCTCAAGATTTTTACATTATTGGGATCAGGGGACGCAGACACGTTGAGAAATGGGAGGAAAAATTGAAGGGAATTTTTCTGTATTTATGGATGTTAGTAGGCTATCTCTGTGTGTGGTGGCACAATTTGTTCACTCCGTTTGAGCTATTAAGCACAAAAGCTTAATTAATAGCTCCTGTGCTTTTTGTCGATAATTTCTTTTTCATTTTGCAGAAAGGCTTGCGAATTAGAGGATCGATACTGTTAAATTTTGATTTAAGGTCGAGGGGTGAGGAGATCAAGGAGGTCGTGTGTATCTCCAGTAGTGTCGGACTTAATGACGATTATACTTGTTATTTTCATTTACAATTTTTTTTATAAAGTTCATCCCTACTCTCAAAATTAAGTTTTTTGTCATTTCATAATAATGAAAAATATAAACGTTTTTAATAATAAAATATAATAACAAGGCGTCGCACATGCAGTTTTAAATGTTGACAGAAAAGTCAAGCAACTCATTGCTAGATATTTTGATATAGTAGCATAGAAATTACCAAATGTAAATTCTACATTTTTATTTTGCTTAAAATGAAGAAAATTTGATGTTTTAAACTTTGGTAGCAACCCCTAAATTTCATCTGAATTTGGCCGAATGTTGGGAATTACCTTTTTTAATTACCATTTTAAATATTTAACAAGTTAGACAGGTGCTCCTATGATAACTACAAGTTTTGTTTTTAGCCTCCAATACACATCACTTTAATATGTCTTATATATGTGAGATTAGAGGAATCACGTTGTCATTGGATCTACTCCACCATATTATAGACTTTGAAAATTGTGAAATATTTAAGATTCCACAAAAGAAATAAGGCATTTTCTAATTCGTCCAAAATAAATCTCCTCCAGTTAAATAAAATTCATATATTCAAGTATTTATTTGTCAATTAATGTTGTAAACATACAATAATTTACTGTCGTAAATGTTTGTCCCTAATTTGTTTAACTTGCAAAAGAGTAAAAGTAATTGAAGCGACGGTACTTAATACCTGCAAAAACAGAAATTAATAATTACTTCTATAAATTTGTAAACGATTTTACTTGAAATTTTCTCCATGGAACTTACCTTCAAAGAAGTCTTTCTAGTAATGATAACATCTCCTATCCACTTTAATCCTACTTCTTTTTTAAATCTTATCATTAAAAATTTTACCTGAAATGTATAAAAGCACGAAAAAATTTAATGAATGATTAAACTCACAAATTTCCCATCCTGTATTTTTACATTTATATAAATAGTACGTTATATTCTTTTATGTCTTTATTATTTACACAATTTAAAAATTATTTACAATTTATTATTTATACAAGTCAGCATCTTTCAAGTGCTCATTGCCTCCGTCATATGCCTCTTTCAGGTGGCCAAGCGGTAGTAAAAGATTTTAAAATCGACGGAAAAAAAAACAAAAATAATTATATTATCATAATTATTTAGATCATATTTTAATCAACCCTCCAATGGCCAAATAAATACAGCCACTGAATACTAGTCATGAGTTCACGCTTGACCATATGCAGTTTTCTAAGTTTGCTTCACGTGTTTTATACCTAGTAGAGTTTCTCATATAAACTCCTGGGTGACATCTCCCGTGTGTGGTAGTTGTTCGCCCATAGTATATTGTTCCGCATTTCTATTATATCAAAAATTATCGAGCGTTTTCCTATATAACATTTATGATACAAAAATATATAAACCTTGTATACAATGCCTATAGTCGCTTTACGTTTTCTTTAAAACTTTTTAATTGGAATGTCGATGATTCACTGTTTATTACGGATTAATTATAATATGTTACGAGAAATTATTTATTGTGACATCGTCACAATGCCGGGATGCAATTTTTAATTTACAGTATTTAATTTAAAATGTATGTTCGCCACCTCAAATTAGTACTTAGTGTCTTGCCTCTGTACGTCACAGTTTTCATAGTCTGTAATGAACATTAAACCCAAAATGTTTATTACATGCAGTATTTAACTTGAACAAAATATGAACCATCTATATGGAGCATTAAAAATATAATAATAAATATATTTTTAATAACACTTTTATAATAAATATTAAAAAGCTTTTTAAACATTCAAAATAATTTAACAATTCTAAATCAATTTGTTCAATTTGAATGTGATAAGTTCTGGTGTCGTTTAGGTCGTTTAGGTAAATTTTTTCATGTTTATAGCCGTTGCGGTACATGATAGCGAGGGATCGGAAGTTACAACCATTTATTTATCAAGAATAAAGAAATGGCTAACTTAAAATTGCTTAAGGTACAATCGACTATAAGCTTATAATTAGTTCTCAGGTAGACTATATTGGGAGGTGGAATTAGCAAAAATTTGTTTTATTTTTTGATACAAGTTCAAGTAAGGCAACATGAGGATAATAATGATTTAGAATAGGAACTGACGTACAGCAAAATACAGTTGAAGTAATGTGTAACCGTGTCTTTGATAGTTTCTGGAAAATCGTGATGATACATGAATGTGTTTCCTTAATATTCCTATTGGTAAATTTACAGAAAGAGAGAGCTGTTTGATGAATTAGTAGTTGCGAATTACAATTGGTAGATAACCCGCATCGTCGTATAACCCTTCGAATTGAATTTTAAACGCAAAACTCGCGAGCTGTTTGCAGGAAATTACAGAAAAATAATTAATTCTTACTATTTCGGTGTCTTCTTCAGAAAGACAAAAGTTTGAAAGTTTTATCGATACTTTATATAATTGATTTCCCTGTAAATAAAAAGAAATTTATCAGAAATTTATCTTTCATCACTAGAAAATATATCATTTTTAAGTATACAAAATTCTGAATATTTTGAAAATTAAGAAAATATTGCTTAAAACAATATAAAAAAATAGCTGTGTGTATTTAAAAAATAAATATTATATGATTTCTCTTCTGCAATTAATACAGTATTTTGTCGATTGTCTGATTAATTTGTTAATACGAGTCTTCAACATATTACATAGGTAATTTCGCTTAAAGAAGATGGTTAAGATATAGTAGAAAACACACCGTTACATGCCATGAAAATTTATATTAATTGCACATTGCATTAAATTTCAATATTTAATAATTAACATTATAATGCATAATAAGGTAATTATTAAGGAAACTGCATTTCATTAAGTGAAATTAAAATAATCAAGAAATAAATCTTTCTTGGAAAATATTCTAGAATGTTATAATTTCTTTTGAAAATTCATCGTGTAAATAACTTCTGAAAAATTCATAAAATCACAATAAATTCAATGGAAAAGCACAATTATTCTACTGATTAAACATATTGTATATGTGATTATAGATTTAAATATATTTTATATATTTACAATTAAAATTTATTTAAGAAAGAGTTTTAAAATTAATTGAGTCTTACAGATATTTCATTCGTCTTACTAAATTTATACACAATTAATTAATTAATATTTTAAAATATTGAAATCGTAAGCGATTCTACGTATCTTTGCATGATTAAGAATGTGATTTAAATTTTAACGATAAATTATCCCTCAATGATTATGTTCATAATCATTGAGGGATAATTATGATAAATGATTATGTTCATAATCATTGAGGGATATTCATAATAATCCTCATTTCCTACTCTTCAATCAATATTGACCAATTTCAGAGTTGTTATAGATACGAAGACAACAAACTCAAAGAAATTTCTGTTGTAGATTATGTCTTAGTTGAATTTCACTTCTTAAATTTTAGATTAAAACGAAATCATTAAGTAGTCAAAATATTTTTAATTTCATTGTTATCTTCTTTTTATATACAGATAACAATTGAACTCTACTTTATATATGACATTAATTTTTCCATACACAACAGAAATTTACAGTATTGTCTCTGCTACGGTTTTGTAGCACTATTTTACCGTCAAGATAACTGTAATAGTTGCACCATAAATAGTTAAAATCATTTTTGTGGAGGATAGAAACATTCACAGCAAGTAAGACTTTTTGTTTGTAAGTCTTCAAAGTAAATGCTTGGGGTGCAACTATGAGTGCTATAAAATATAATGATGACTAGAACTTGAGTTTCTTGAGATATATCAGTAAAGTATGATTATTAAGCTGTCTTTCCGCGCATTAAAATGTTTTCTCAATGTTACGGGATTAGACATATATCATGTTTTTTATGAATGTGTACCTGCAGTACACAGTGAGACGTCTCACCGTGTACTATCATCTACAGGAAGCTTTATTTTATTGAAACAGTTTACATGTTTCCCTAAAGTTGCAGCCAGAAACTACCAGAAGGAAAAATGGAAGAAGTATGATCATGACTGACACTCCAGAAAAACAAGAAATTTGCAGGACTATGGAGTAAAAGCAACAACATAATAATCAAACGAGAAAAAGTGCTTACAATAGAATCTTAATTAATAGGACTAGTCGTGATAGTAGTGACACTCATGATCTTACACAGAAATCAAACAGTGATTTTGTTCCAGAAGTTCCTGTTGCTCTGTAATCAGATTTCTTTGGAGAACTAGATGGAGATTATAAGAAAAAAGACTGTGTTCTAGTAAAGTTTCCTGGCAAGATTTATTATATTGGAAAAATAACTGAAAAAAAAGTGATAAAGAAGACCTAGAAATTTCTTTCCTAAGAAGATCAGAAAAGTTGCAAGGAAGTTTTCTATACCCTAGAGTTGCAAACCTTGCAAGTACGGACATATCGGACATGACCTTCCCCAGTTCATAAGCAAAAAGAGATTAGCAAAATACTGTACATAAAGTTTTCACTCGATTTTACAGAAATAAACATTCGTTAGATGCGCTTATCATGAAAGAAGCCTGCTTGTCTCAGCGTACACCACGTTCTGTCTCATTGTATAACTGGGTGGTACACAGTGAGACAGGTTACCAACTTTTATTCTTTTTAATCTACAATAAAAATAATTTTACTTATTACTCAGTTCTGTTTACATAATATTATTACATGCATATATGAATAACTAGTTGTTACCCGCGACTTTGCCCACGGTGGTTTTGCAAGCAATCCCCATTTACATTCAGTATTTCAACAACCATAGTAATTGTTATAGAACACCTACCGCTGAGAATGATGAGAATTGCCGAGAATCAAACAAACCGTTTTCAATTTGATCAATTTTCTGGAACGTTTACAATCGTTCTATAATCGAACCAATATGCAATAAGAAATTCGAATTTAAAACGGTTCGAACATTTGGTTAAAAAATCGAAATATATAAAAATATTTATAACAATGTCTGAAATGTTACCAATTTAATACACCTAAGTACTTAATGAAGACTAAACGTAGCTGAAAACAAAAAATCGTATCTAAAATAGTACAGTAGAAGCCGTACTTCCGGTTAAGCCTTAATACTCTCCCTTCCCCCCGCGGGGGAATTTCGAAAACTCACTTCTTAGTGTACGTTTTCATGACGTACTCTAACTGTGTACAAAATTTCACCTCTTTAGGTTCAGCAGTTTGCTCTGGGCGACGATGAATCAGTGACTCAGTCAGTTAAGACAAGTCATTTTATATACAGTCGACCCCCTATAACACTGTTGATTTTATCGTTTTATATGAATTCCATGTTGTACGAGTCACTTAGATTTTACAAATACGTGCGCCGGGCTGTAAACAGCTCACGTATTTGTAAAATCTCGACTGTATTTAGATAATTTTCAATAAACATTACAAAATTAATATTATTTTCGTAAGAATTTCGTATTTTTCGTCTCACTATCCACAAGTTTCCCCTATATTTTAAATCAAAGATTTTACATAATATTTACTTTAATCGTGTCTTTTAAATATGATATATTTAATTTAATTGTCTAACATTTTACAATAAAACGTAAACAAAATACTTTAATTTCTCAAATTCTTAATTGTACTGATAATTTTCTATAAATAAATAAAATATTTTACCACTGACGGAATCCACGCTGCCATAAACGTAAGTATTATGAAGGCTCCAACAGTTAATACAATCACTAGAATTGCTAATAATTGCAGATACAAATCTTCAAGTTCAAAAATAAGCAAAATCAGAGCAGTAAATAGGAACATTCCAAGTATTAATGTTATAAATTTGCCAAGATTACTTAGCAAGCAAATACTCATTCTTAACATGTCCTGTATTCGTTCGAGTATATTTATAACAATTTTCAAATGATAAGTCTCCAATCTATTACCGTCAGGAAAATCCAATAAAATATTTACGTAATTTAGATATAATGTAAATTTCGATGAAGGATAAACAGCCAGTAATGTAATGAGCATAAGAAGGTAAAGTATGAATCCAGCAGAAAAAGAAATAGCATGAAAATAAAATGGGAAAAGAAAGATAAGTAACATTGTTGATTGGCAAAGACAAACTGGTAACTGAAAACAAATAACAGTATCGTGAATTTTTTTAGTATAAGTACCGATTACAATAGGACAATATACGAGTGTTACAATAAAAAACAATCGATCTTGCAAAATAAAAAAATCTTCTCCTAATTCTTTATTTGTTTGTACAAACTTTTCCACTTCCACAAACTTTTCGATCCCAATTTTCCATGTCTTTAATAATCCTGATATAATTAATATTGGTACAATACTTGCATTTAATAAAAACCAAACAACTCCTAATATGCACATGTATTCCCAAATGTCAAAATGAATTTCGGAACAGAAAATATGATACTTATTGGGAACAAAATAGGAATTGTAGTACATAATGAGATATATCCAAAATGAAATATTTGTTACCAAACAATATGAATTATGAATAAATTCCCAAGTTTTGTTTCTGACGTGTGGGTTATAAGAGATTGGTACACCGAAAATTTTCATTATATTAAATATGGGTTTTAAGGAGCAGTGTACGCAATTGTTTCGCTGCTTTGAGGGAATCATTTTACAGGCGAAGAATCAGTTTTTAAAAATAAATTTTAATAATAAGCTTCCTCTGTAATGATTTTCGATAAAATGCCAATGTACATTATTAACCCATTTATACGAATAAGTTTGCCTAATATAATTAGGATAAAGCTGCTATGATGAAACAATCGATAATTTGAGTAATTAGTGTAGATGATATAAATTGCCTGTAACCTTGAATATCCATTAGTGGTCTTCACTAATAAAATTTTACTAATAAACCGCCGTTTTGTCGCATACGAAATGACAGCTTATTAATAATAATAACGTTACTAGATAATATGGGAGTCTAGTCTCAGCTCTTCTAATAACTCAACGAAAGATATACGTGAAACATTCGATAAATCCTCTTATCGAAAGGCAGTTAACGAATCTGAAACAAAATGCTCATTCTCTGCCTCACGTTAAGTAGGTTTCACTCTGTGTAACTGGTTGAGATGCATCTGGGTTTTGTGCTATCTCTTTAACCATTTAGAATTTAGTTATGATTGCGTATTTGTGACGCGACTACAACCCATTGATTTCGAAGCAAAATTTGAATTTATTCATCAAAATTTATTTTATCCGCTTCAGAGTAATCTCTTCCCATTGCAATGCACCTATGCCAGTATTTTTTCCAATTCTCGAAACTAGCTTTAAAGTCGTTTTGGTGAAACCCCTTCGGGATTTTGTTTTATCGCATCGATCGACTCAAAACAGTGACCAACAAGCGAAAATTTTAGTCAAGGAACCAGGAAAAAGTCACGCGATGCCATATTGTGTAAATATATATCTTGCGAAACCGCATTTATTGAATTT